TAAGGTAGGCAACTTTGTATACAAATTGACGATTAGCAATAGATTTTGGGAACACTTGAATTCTCTTATCAAATATTGCTAGCGGACCGTACATCAGCTTACTGTAAGTTGTATGTTCGTGAGCTTACTACATTGTATTATCATATTACGTGATTATTATCATTGTGATCTCTTTGAAGCCGTTAAGTTAAATTTGGTGGTTGAATTTGATAAGGTAGGCCCTAAAAAAATATAAGGTTATGTTTTTATTTCAAATTAAACTTGATAACTCAGACACTCAATGCTCAGGACATAAAATGTACATATTTTTATTTTTTTTATTTCTAATACTCTAACCATTACAATGCTTATTATAATATATTAGACACGATCTGAATGTTAATTTAAATTTTTTAGTTAGGTACACTATTTTGTTCCAGACATAATTACATTTTTGTAACGTGAACCTGTCAGGAGCTCAAGTTATTGTTAGAATTATTTTTACTACCTACTATTTTTAGTACATTTTAAAGTAAAAAATTTTGTACAGCAAAAAAATAAAATATTGGTACATAATGAGTGATTCTTCAAATAGCTCGGAATCTAGAACCAGGAAAAGGATTCAAGAAGCTAAGAATAAAGCTAGACCAGGTATTGAGAATTAACTAGAAGCATTAACTGTATAATTATGTACATATAGTTATTTTTTGAAAAATGTATGGGCCTTATGATAAAAAGTTTTAGTTTAACACTTCATTATTTTTTTTAAATAAATGTATATTTAAAAAAAATGATCAATCATGTGTATGATTTAACATAGGTAATACAAATTTGTTGTTTTAATTACATTTGTGCTTATACATTTCAAATGTATTTAGTTTGAATTAGCTCTCACAAAAAACTATTATTTAAAAAATTTCACTGGTTGGTGAATAAACTTCCACTTTTTTGTCTTGAAATAATAATAATAATAATCATAAAATAACTGTTTTTTATTAATCAATAGGTTATCATCAAAGTTTAAAAATAAACCTATTGTATTTGTTTGAACTTATAACTATTCCTTTGCATAATCAAGTATCAACCAAAACATTATAACAGCAAAAGAAAAACGCTGATTTGCAAATCAATTACAACATTGACAATTTATACAAAGTCTTAGATTAGCAAATGATATTAACGATTTGCAATACATTTTTTTTTTAGAACTGAGTGACAAATATGCATGGCATGCCCATGGTTATGCTGACAATTTTAAGTCTTTCACAAAAGTACAAGACAATGTGGAACGCATTGATGTAGAAATTGTGAGTCCTGAAGTATTTGTAGAGAAATATGAGCGGCCGTATAAACCAGTTGTGATAAGAGGACTACAAAATAATTGGAGAGCTGCTTATAAATGGACATTAGAAGTATAATATTTGATTTGTTTTTGGCGTAAAAATTTTGACTTTTTTTTGCATCAATTAGAGAATAGGAAAAAAATATCGTAACCAAAGATTTAAATGTGGTGAGGACAATCAAGGATATAGTGTTAAGATGAAAATGAAATATTTTGTTCATTACATGAATAATAATAAAGATGATAGTCCTTTGTATATATTTGACAGCAGTTATGGTGATGTAAGTCCTATTTATGTTTTTAATTACATGTTAAGTGTATATTAAATTTGATAGTTCAAGAAAAATATGCTTTTTATTGGCGATAGAAAGTGATAAGCTGAAATGGGGCCCCTGTGTTTAATATTTATGTTATTTTTCCATTATCCCTATTACAGACTACTCTCAGCCGGCCTAAAATTTGGTAAACTTTCTATCGTCAATTATTATGTGCAGCACGGAAATAATTAAAACTAATCTCGTCCTTACTGACAGATACTACAAATTTAAGTTCCTTATAATTTTATGCAAAACACTTAACAAATCTTATATTTTAGCACATCATTATTATAATGTATATCATTCAACCATTTGACAATTATTTTAACTGATCACATACACATTGAATTTATTAATTTGCGTTTACCAATATCTATTTATTTAAACATTATATTTGAATGTAAATTGTATATACAGCATCATCGAAGAAAGAAACTGTTGGATGATTATGATATACCTGTTTACTTCCAAGATGACTTATTTAAATATGCAGGTGAAAAGAAAAGACCTCCATACAGATGGTTTGTCATGGGTCCTTCTAGATCGGGAACTGGAATTCACATAGATCCGTTAGGTACCAGTGCATGGAATTCATTAATTACTGGACACAAGAGGTAAAGTTTTATTTTTATTTTTATAATGTGCATATTAATTATGGAATGTTCAATTTAGATGGTGTCTGTTTCCTACTCATACTCCTAAAGAACTGCTCAAAGTCACTTCGGCTGAGGGTGGTAAACAACGTGATGAAGCTATCACTTGGTTTAAAATCATCTATCCTCGTACTCAGTTACCAACTTGGCCTAAGGATTGCTCACCGGTTAGTTAATTTTAATATTAAAAAATTTGATGTATCTAAACAAACAATAATTTATTTAAAAAATATGTTTATAGTTTGTTAATACATATTTGTGTACCTTAAATAATAAAATTATTTCTTGTTGTACCAAAACAATTTTTTTTTACATTTTAGATAGAGATACTTCAAGGCCCTGGTGAAACTGTGTATGTACCTGGTGGATGGTGGCACGTAGTACTCAATTTAGATACTACTATTGCAGTAACTCAAAACTTTTGTAGCCGTACTAATTTTCCTGTAGTCTGGCATAAAACAGTTAGAGGACGACCAAAATTATCCCGTAAGTGGTATAAAGTGTTGAAAAACAAAGAACCTGATTTAGCAATAGTAGCAGACTCCGTTGACTTAAAAAACAATACGGGTCTTGCATCAGACAGTTCAAGTTGTTCAAGTAGTTCTAGTAGTTCGAGCAGTTCTAGTGATGGAAATTCTAGTGAAGATGATAGTGGACAAGAATCTCTGCATGCACATAAAAAAAGGTACCTTATCCATTATTCTATTTATTGCCCAATAACTTGTTTGATTGTAAAATGATATGCAATAAATTTAATGCTACCATCATTCATATAAATTTTAAAAACCTACACTTCAACTATTTTATTGTTGTTATTATTTCCATGGAAGTATAATGATGAATATTTTTTTTATGTAAGAGATGTCAGAATATATGAACTCGAAATAATTTCAATGGATTAGGAATAATCTAGCTTATAATTTATTTTTTTTATTTTTTTGAGTGAAAGATTTCATTCTTTAGGAACTGTTAGCATCTCGACAATCATATTTAATTACTTTGTATGATAAGACTTGTAACGCTTGTCTAACAATTGAATGGAATTGGGATTAAGTGACTTAACACCAGTACCCTAATATCAGCTCCATCAATACATTTAATTAAACAATATGCACATTTAATATATATAGCTAATAAAATTGCATTGTCTGTACAGTTGAATTTATGTAATAATTCTTGTAGATATTTTACATTATTATGAAATGTTGCCATCAATATAGTTGGCTGGAAAGCATTACACATAAATGTTGTTTATCAATGTTGGGAAACCACTAGTTGTAATATTAGAACAAGTGCAATGTGTTGAAACTATTCTTTTTGTTTCAGATGTAAATTATCTTCACCGAATTAAGTTCTCAAGAATACTTAAGTTTCGAGGCCAAGAAACTATTGCAAGAATTTATATTCCAAATAGGGTTGTTAATTGTAAACAAAGTATTCTATTCCTTACATATTTTTTTATTTAATTTTGTTTACTAACCTTACATGCGGATTATTCCTTAAGTTATGAAATAAATTATGACTATGATAATAACAATTAATTTTCATAACAACATTAAGTATCAATATAAAAAAACTGTATTTTAAATAAATTATTTTGACAATATTGTGAATGTTAATTTATAATTTTCCTTAATATGTATTCCTTTAAACTCAGATTTTTTTTTAAAATACAATTTTACAAGAAATATTTTACTTTTTCTTTTTTTCTTTTGATAAAAGAAAACTAATTTTTGACAGGATCAGCTAGATAATGATGAAGTTTCCATTGGTAGGAGTTTCGGACCATATAGAAGAACATACGCACAATGCCAATCACCTGTCAAATTTTTTTATTAAATTATGACTGTTAAAAATATTAATCAAATATATTTCATTACCTCCGCCAGATAATTTAAGGATATCTTCAGTTGCCACTGGTGTTACTGTATCATCATCACATTTGATCCATTTTTCAGATGTTGGAGACTCTCGAACCCAACCAACATAATGGCCACTAGAGCTTGATCTGCCTTTATGTGTTAAGACAGCTTGAAGGGAGTAGTAACCAGAGTTATTTGAACCATAGTCTGTGCAACAAAATTGAAAGCAATAGTTAAGGAATAGAGCTTTATTATTTACTAGCTTATCTCAATACCATCTTCAAACCAATATGGAGCTGTGGGTTTTTCTTGTTTAGATTCTGCCAACTGTTTTGCGCTGAGCTTAACACCTTCATGAGCCAATTTGTCTTCTAACTCCTTTATTAAAAGTAATTAAATAATAAAATTACATTTTAGTTTAGTTAATAACAACCATCATAAACATTAAGTGGTCAGGAGGACCCATTTCCATGACACAGTACAAGAAATGTTACAAAATACTATAGCACACTAAAAGTGTACTTAGCACAAAAAAATTACCAATCTACTTAAAATTAACTTTTAAACTTCAGAATGTTTGGAGTTATGCTACCAGAAGCACACGGTTTTCACGATGCAAGATGATAAATTAGTATTAGTACATTACACAACACTTGATAATTATTGTATGGTATTATTATTTTCTCGTATCATACATTCATACACGTGTTTGTTTGGCAAAATTTCTATTAGGCGCCCGTAGGTTTCTGCCATGCCCGGTTGGGGGATGGCAGCACTTAATCTCTGGTCACGGCGATTTGTCCGGAGAAAAATGTAGCCCGGTGGCCGAGGATTGAACCGCGACCGACTGCATCGCAGCGGACGCATCAGACCACTCGGTCACCTCGTCCCCCGTATGGTATTATGATGACGTGTATACTTAGGTTATAATAACCACAATAGATGAAATCTAGATTTCATCTATTTTGTGTAATAACCCTTAAGATTATTAAATATTTGATTTAAGAAAAAAGTAGGACATTTCATCTTAACATTAGCTTGAATTTAACAAAAAAGTGGTAATAGCCAGCTACTTTTTATTTTTTAAAGTAAGCAGCTGTAGCGGTGGAGCTTCAAAAAAAAAAAAAACAGTATTCGTTAAGATAAATGCATTAGTTTTACCTGGAATTTTCTTCTAACTGGTACAAGTTTCTCTTGTAGTTCTGGAGTACACAATTCAAATGCATCAAATTCGATTGGAAATTTAATATCTTTTAAGATTTTTGCATTAATTTTATCTTTTTCTTTGTAAAAGAATCGCACAAACTGAATAGTCAGGTATGCTGGCAGTCTATTGATTTTTGACTAAATTGAAGTAAACTATTATTAGGTACTGAAATATGCAAAAGTAATCAACATTAATATACTATATATAAACTTACTGTCTTTGTATAAACAGCATCTTTACCAAGGATAGGAGAGTGTTTGGTTATGTGTTCTTGCATTCTCTACAATAGGATACAGTGATATTAAATGTGTACAATTTTGGTCATCATATTAAGAAAAAACATAATTTTAATAGCTTTCATAATATTTACATTTTTTAAACCAGAATGCATGTACTTGACATCTTGAGATATAAAACAACTTAACTGCAGAAATGACTCAGTAGTTTTGGTTACTTCTTCAATATCACTTTCTACACATTTCCATTCAACATTAAATGAACCACCAAAAAATTGATCTATTGCAGATCTAAAAACAATTAAATTACTGTATTAATGTATTTTTCTAGTTATAAAAGAATGAATAACTTTACTTGTAATTAGTAGTTGACTTATCATTGTTTTTATTTTTTAATGCTGGCAGTTTTTGCTGTAGCATACGAATAAGTTCTACCCAACATTCATTAGCATCCTAAATGAATTGAAATAATTAAATTTTATCAATATATTTAAATAAGAAATTAAAATAAATTGTAAAGAATCGAGACAAAATGAACAGAATAAATATTTTATTTACCTGTTGCATATGATGACCTTCTACTTTGTCAGCAAATCTGGGGAATGCTTGATGTAATACTTGTAAAAGTACAAGAGGTGGGATTGTTTGATTAGATTCCATGGTCCGATATAAATCACTCATTGCAATTGTGATTTTCTCAGCCGGTGCAAAATTAGATAGAGACGAAGATGCTGTAATAGATAAGGAACATGTAAAAACAAAATGAAGGAAACTTTTCCATATATGTCTTACATGCTGCATTAAAATCGGTCAGGGCTTGTCGTAATTCAGGTACAGTCTTAAGGCACTGAACAGTAGCATTCAAATAACAAGTGTTGCCCAAATTGGTAAGACCCGCGGGCATATTGGTCTAAAGGTCAAATAAGTTTAACAGTCTTAGTACCTACAATTAAACTGACAACATTTTAAAGAGTAATGACTTACAACTGTGGCCAATTGTGTCTCAGTCATGTCTTCAACAAACATTGGCTTGACAGTGGGTTCTATGGGTACGTCCTCATCCTTGCTGCCCATCATCAGTATATTCTGGCCCTCAACTATCTGTATGTTGCCCCATGTATCGTCTTTGAGGGTGCCGCCTTTCATCATTACTTTCTGGCGGTTGGGATTGACACCAGTTAAGGCAAACAGTTGTGCCTTGAAAACAAGTGGCGGCTCGTCCGTGTTTATCTCCACATCTGGATATACTTCTTTTCCCCATTTTACCTTCACTGAACCCAAAAAAAATAAAATATTTCATTAAACGACATATTCTTTTGACCTTATAAGTCGTTTCACTCACCTGTAAATAATGGCATATCGCTCAGCGAGAATTTTCTGTTGCTGTGTTTACGGAAATAATTATCACCGTCGTAGTTCGACAACCGTACTACTTTTTCATGAAGCACAACGCTCGTACTATGCAAAGGGTTCCCTCTGTCAACTATTGTGAATTGGATGTTCACTACTGAACTTTCGAAACTTAAGGTATTTATTTTAGATATGCGAGTAGAACTTCAAAATGTGCTCGTCACTCGTCGACCATCGCGATTCATGACAAATCTATTGTTGATAACGGCCAAACGAAATTATCGCTCGTCACTATTGCACAGTGCGGCCACTACTGTTTTTCGGAATATTTTTTACCGGCCACGGATGTTCCCCCTATCTATATCACTCACGATAAGGATAATAATATTAATAATATCATTAATCTACATTGTAAACCAGTCTAAAGCCGTGGTAATCCAAGGTGGCGAGGCTTATAGATTATAAATATAATATAGAAATAAAATAATTATATTATATATTTAATATAGATTATAGATTATTATCTATAAACCTTGGTGGTAAACTACATAAAGTCACAGATATCAGATATCTGTGTGGTACCGTACTTCAGTAGCCCGTATAGTATATCTTTGTAGTGTAGAAGTACAATAATATTTATACAATAATCTGTTTCATATAATCTGTGGTAGAAGTTAGCGCATAAACCTAATTATTTTAATAGTTTAATACCTGGTAAACTTAGTACGCTGTTCTTGTACCCAGTGTCAGACTGATCATTGCCGCTAGTCCGCAAACGGCGCAAACAGCCCTGCCTTTTTTTTTTAAGTCGTCAATTTTTTATTTTCTTCTCCGGCGACCCCAAGAAAGAAACGCATTAACCTTTGTTACAGTTTGGCACCTAAGTCGGGTATGATGGTCATAATTTCAATATAACCAATAACAGTATAGCACCATTATTTGAAAAAGCTTTGAGGTTCTATGATTAATGATTATTGATTGTGTATGCTTGGTATGCATTGCACTTAAGGACGTAAGGTTGGTTAAAATTAAATTACAATTATTACATACTATCTGATATTGAAAACGCCGTTGTACTGAAACTGTTGTATTGTTAAACAGAACACAACTGTCAAGAACACCACCGGAGTAGTACCAAAGCTCGCTCGACAGCCGTTTTTTTTTCGTAAATGCATTTTCGTCATCATTTAAAATACTTGGTTGATATTAATACATTTCGATTTTTCTGTTTCGTCCCAGAAGCAAACTGCGGTTATTGCCTGTTGGTCGTTAGTCGTTACTTATAGTTGTATACTTGTATCTTCGTTTCTTATAATATCGTAGAACAATAATAATAATGACAATAATTGAACCTACTCGTTTCCGGAAGATAGCGGCATAAAAACTGCCAGGTGGTTATTGAGAAGCTAGATAGCGCTGCCGTTTACGACTAGGTTATTAAAATTTAATCGGGTCTATACAATGATTATAATTCTTGAGAGTTGGGAGTTTGGACCAATGTAATAAATTAGAAATATTGAAAGATAAATATAAAATATAAATTACTACAAATGTTTAATTTATTGGCATTGACTGAATCGTTCAAATACGTTATTGTGGAGACGTGAATTTTTAAATATGGTCTTACAGTACCTACATTAAAACATTAAAAAAAATGTTATGAATAAATTCACTATTCAAGTAAATATTGGGTTCAGCATGCTTTGAGAATCACCCCGTTATCCTGCATACATAAATATTTTTTATTTAGTGAAAATAAAAAATATATACTTTCTTTTTTAAAAAATTGTCATTGTTTATATTATATTGTATTCCAACAATCCAGCAACTCGCATAGTAACATCTCACGATTTTGGCGCCAGGGGGGGGGGGGGTGTAAAAATATTATTACAAGAATAAAATAAGTAGTAAAACGTCATTTTGTTAAATAAAAAAATGTAGGTAGGAATTATATAATGTACGCACGGGTTTTTATTCAAGTGAGTAACTTTATCGCAGCTGCAGATAAATGGTAATACTTTGATTAATGACCAACTACACCTGATAACCTCGGCAAAAAATAACAGAAGAAAATATTTTAATTTAAAATAACTTAGCTTGTTCAAAAGTAAAATTAACTCTATAGTTAATTAAAAGAACCACCGCGGTCGACTAAACGATGCCGTGGCTGATAAAACAATGCTCCCCTCCCCCCACCGGAATGAAATCCTATTTACGCCACTGAACGAAAGAGCAATCTATTTGAATTTAGAATTTTGACGCAAATTACAATTCATATTTTTACGTAGGTGGTAATTAGAAACGCGTTTCAAAAAATGTAGTGTAAATTACACATGAACCATATATTTTGATTCAATTTTTGTGCAAATTTACTATAGCCCTTCATTGTACCCGAGGACCCCGATTGTACCCTCCATTGGAAGATGGTAAACTGCGTCAAAAAAAATTTAACATTATACAATCTGCGACAAAACCGATAAGACACATTATACGAACTGCGGCAATTTATTTTATATACCTACTAAAGTTATTCATTGTTCGTAAAACCGTGATGTTCCAAAAATTAAATTGTACCTTATGTACAAATCACCGCGTCATAGTATCCATTCATAACACATATTATAATATATTATACAATTTGCAGTATATCTATTCATATTTTAAGAAACTAGTGCGAACCATTTCTTTTTCTTCTGACTTATTTGATATAATATAAATACCTATGTACCTATAACATAAAATTGTATATTTATTTTTATCAAATTATAATTTATGGAAATTATACACCTGACCACCAGAAATTTTTATATGACCGCGTATTAAGTTGTCATAACTTTAATGAAATCAGCATTATACGTAATATTAGGTATATTATCAATAGTATATTCACAAAAATAAGTTAAATCCTTTAATACATCAGTGTCTTACAATTATGTATAGGTAATTATATACGAATAGGTACAAGTTGTTCATCTCGATTTTACTTCAACTGCATTATAATAAGCAAACTATAATTTAAATATGATTATACATTAAATACAAGGTGTGGGGAAGCATGCCGCGACTGCTAAGTATAGGTTTTATCGGTTGGGGACTTGGGGTGCAAGCATATTATATGCGGCCCAAACGCCCAGTCAAAATTTAATTTTGAAAATATCTGTTTGGTATTGATTAAAAAAGCCGTTGTATTATGTAGGTACAATATGCTAGTAGATTAAATCATAATTAATATTGATAGTATACTTAAAATCAAACCGATTGGCCCAGTCATAAGACAACAGACCTAATCGGAAATGCGTAACACCCTATTTAGGTCTTTAGTTACAAGTTTACAACTGACAGCCCTGGTATTAAATTCCTATATGCGTATTGTGTATTCAATAATTAAGAAATAATCTGCAAAACACAATAGGTATATCATAAGCATTTTTAGCTAATTATATTTTTTCTAAAAAATGTATTTGATTTTTGATAAGCAAAACCCTAAAACTAAGGACGATTAACAACTCGGTCCCGATTTTCTTCAGGTAAAAAATTAATAATACCTATGTAAATCAGATCCTACCTAACTCAGCTCGAGTATAGTAAGAACCCGGGTGTTCATCCATACGGGAACTAGTGGCACCGGCCAGTGCTAGCATCAGACACATTTGTGACTGAATCCATACACCGCTCCACTTCTAAATGTTCTTATGCTTATAAAAAGCTCAAAAAGAGTCAAAATATTTTGAAAATTCTTTTTTTCCTTATTTTTTTCCCGTTTTGTTTCCAGTTGCTTTTGAAAACTATAGTGATTTTTTTTACTTTTGACTCTCTGAAGCAGGGCCGGACTGGGCCACTGTGCTACTATTCTACAGCACAGTGGGCCGCGTGCTACGGTTATAAAAATAAAATTTATAAATACTATAAATATTAAAGTCAATCTAATTATACAAGGGCTTATATTTTATGCCAATAATACGAATCAATACAAGTTTACTGAGCGTTTGGCAGTTGGTAGTATTATCACAAAAACGCAGTGGAACTACTGGCATACTGCGATGACGGCCGGTGCAGTGGTAGTAGTGGTCATAGTCCATAGACATAATATAGAACATAACACTATATTATGTCTATGGTAGTGGTACTATTGATGTGGTTGTGGTTATTTTTTATTTTATAATTTATTTTTGTGGCTAAAAATAGTTTTATAGTTTTATTTCCCAATTTATTGATTACCTACCTAAATGATATCAATAATATTATAACAACATCATGATTTATTTTGTAAAATCAAAAGAAAATAGTCTTGTATTCTTGTTATTCTTGTCCGGTGTTGTGTTGTGGTTACTATAAATGTTTGAAGTGATATATAAAATCCCGTGATGAGTGACGATATAGTGAACAACATCGAGTATAATAGTTAAAAAGTACGGATAATACTTAAATTTATAAAAATGCAAAAGTTAAAAAAAAATCGTAAAGGAGGAGCTGAAAAAATTAGAGCCAAACGAATAACTGAACTTGAACTGAACACTATTATCATCTGTTGATCACTCAAAATTAATTGACGAACTTGAACACTTTGCTGGAATTTATGATAAAATTTCTAAACCATTATATAAAAAAACTGTTGATATCTATGACGAAAACACAAATAATGATGATGATAATTTAATTGTAACTGATATGGATTATGAAGATTTTTCTTTGGATTGTGATGATACTCATCTATCTGTTACAGGTAACTAAAAAAAAAATTAATTGTTTATTAACTATATCATATTTTAACCAAATTCAACTATAAAATATATTTTTATATGTTTTTATTCGTGTTAAGATATTTATATGAAGATTTTTTTTTTTTAGAATCTGAATGTGAACACTCTTTTATCCGTGATGAAAAAGGTATACATACCCGAGAGAATTGTTTGATTTGTGTTTTTAATTTTCTTCATTCGCTTTATTTACATATGCCCACTTATTCTAATTTATATGCCGCCATGGAATATGTACTAACCTTATCGGTAACTCAGGTTAATTGTGAACGAGTATTTAGCAAATTAAAAATTATCAAAAATCGTCTACGCGCTTCATTATCTAATGACCGCTTAGATGCTTTTTTATTAATGTCCGTAGAAAAAGAAATATTAAATGATTTAAAGTTTGAAGATATTTTGGACATAATTAAAAACTCATCTCATACTTTATCCAAATTATTATCGTTCACATAATTACATAAATATATAATTATAAAATTGAATTTGTCATACTGTAACTTGGTGTTA